ATGTAAAATGTAAAATGTAAAAAAAATAAATAAAATAAAAAAACACAAATCCTCTCTGAAGAGAAGGTGCTTGCATTTGATTGGTTAAGCTCAGTAAACCTGGCTCTGATTGGTCGATGTYGTCCTACGTTTTGTGTTCAGCTGGTAGATGCGGGCCGGCTAACCTGTTAGCTGTCTGAGCCGCGTTTAGCCTCTTTCTAAGGAGGTGAAACGCCAGAAAAGCGCGCTTGTCGCGCTGTTATCTTCGGCTCTTCTGAAAGCCGCAATGCCGATCCACTCCCGGGACAAGAAAGAAAGTAACCACGAAGAAATGGAGGTGGATTTTCACGAGCAAGACGGCAGCAGCACAGACGAGGAGGACACCGTTAGCTCGACAGTGTCCGAAGATGGAGACAGTTCWGGTAAGGCGGCCTTAAAGAATAATTTACACCTAAATGAACGAAATCATCATAAGTTTGTTTTAAATATATTATGGACTAAATGTGGTTCCTGAATGGTATTAGCTGACAACCTAAACGGGGGGTAGTCAGTCTGGTGTTTGAGGGGAAAGTGTGTTCAATCYATGTTGTTGTGAGCAGAGATGGATGATGAAGACTGTGAGAGGAGGAGGATGGAGTGCCTGGATGAGATGACCACACTGGAGAAACAGTTCACTGACCTGAAGGAGCAGTAAGTTCACTGACTTGTTGGAAAACAACCAAGTCCTGCAGCTGTCAAAAGCTTTGAAAACAAAGAAACTCAGACACAGAACTACCAAAGCCAGTGATTGATATTTTTATTATCATGAAGACAAACTCATACAATACAGACACATGCTTCAAAATTAGCTGCAGGTTTTAAAATCTGGCCTGTGTTACGGTTGAGTTTCAGCCTGTCRGCCATGTAAATAGATCAAAACAAGTTGACATATTTCTAAAATGACAAACATGTTTTTCATCAAATGTCATCAGTAAAATATTATAGATTACATGMCTGCTGATTATAAAAGCAGACAGAATACACACCATTTGTTGATGTATCATTGGCTCCAAACGCCTGGATTACCTTTTCTTATGTGACGCTTCAGAATGCACATAAATGACGCTGGTGGAAGCACGACTAGTGTTTTATTTGGTTCGATGAAGTCATGTGTTTTGCCTTCATGTTTTTTTTTTCATTTTGAGATTGTATAAGGAGCGTCTGAGCCAGATGGAGATCAAGCTGCAGGAGGTGATGGCGGGCTGCGCTCAGGAGTACCTGGAACCTTTGGCCAACCTACAGGAGAACATGCAGATCAGGACCAAAGTGGCCGGTGAGCTGAGTTACGACGCCCGTTTGTTGCCCGTACGTCTGGAACAATCTTGGGTACAAAAAGGCTTGTTTTTGTTCGTGCTTCTGCAGGGATCTACAGGGAGCTGTGCTTGGAGTCGGTGAAAAACAAATACGAGTGTGAGATCCAAGCAGCCTGCCAGCACTGGGAGGTGAGGTCAACATGCAGCTTGGACACATCTTATTGTTGTCACACTCTGGACAGGAGACAAGGAGGAAACACAGTCCTGGTTCTAYGTTTTCAGAATGTCTTCCAGTATTTATTTACTGTGTTTACKTCTCCTTGGTGTCAGAGTGAGAAGYTGCTGCTCTTTGACACGGTGCAGAGTGAGCTGGAGGAGAAGATCAGAAGACTGGAGGAAGACAGACACAGYATTGACATCACCTCAGGTACTAACGAGAGAAACCGTGTCCTTTTATTAATCATCTTTTCGAAACTGCTCAGAGGAGTGCTTCAAAACTTTCTTTAGGTTTATATTTCACACAGTAAAATACAGAATCCACTTATTAATTATTACTATTAAAATTTCTCAACTAATGCACTGTATCTTATATATACTGCCTTGTGATTTAATCCTCGGTTGGATGCAACGGGTCACAAATATCACGTCAGCTTTGAGGTCTTCATCTTATTTTCTCATTGCTGTCCCCGAAATCAGGGGTTCTTAAACTTTTTGACCTCAGGGCCCAATTTTTTGAACGTAAAGTGGCACGAGGCCCAGTCAGACGTTACCAATGTATGGATCAAAATGATAATTATCATAAATCTTGGTTTGTATTTGATAATGTTTTGAACTTGTAAAATATTGCGTAGTAAAAACAGAAGCTGCACTTCATATTAGTGACAAACTTTGGCTTTTTTTGATGGGTTGCCTTCATTTTTGCTTCTACTTTTCATTTAAAATAAGTTTCCATTCTCGGCAGGTTTCTAAGGTTCTTCTTCTACGTATTAAAAAAGTTGTTAAACATCTGAGTGGCGCACTACCGCTACTAGTGATGAGAAAGTGTATTGCACCTTATTCAAAATCAATGCGATCCCACGGCCCTCTGCGGCCCAAAGTTAAAAACTGTTGTTTTTTTGAGGCCCTCAAGGTGGCGCTCATCCCATGGGTTAAGAATCTCTGATCTAAATCAGTGGTTCCCAAACTATTTCGCTCAAAGCCCCGCCCCGTCCCCCACWATCCCTCACTACTCGCCACCTCTCCCAAAGATGCGTTTAACCTTTGTCTTTTTATTAAAATAATAAAAGAATAAAGTGAATTTGGAAAAAGAACAAAAGAAGAACTGCGTTATACAGAGCTTTAATCGTTTAAATGGACTTGTTTTGGTGTATTTTTTTTCCATAATCTATAGTGATCAGTACTCTTGGCTGTCAAAAATGCAGTATATACTAAATAAGGATTAGTGGAAATAATGTTTATTTATACTATTTTGACAATAATTCTGACTGTCTAATCTGTGAAGAATAATCCCTGTACTCTGGTCACTTCAGACCAAGGTTATAATAATTTTGGATTTTTCATTATAGTTCAGTTTTATTTCATTTTGACTTTTTTTTCTTTGAATTCAGTTAGTTTTAATTAGTTTTTAGAGTGGATTTGTTAGTTTTTTATTAGTTATTATTTTTTGTTTAATGTTTAGTAGGGGTGTAAGAAAATATTGATACACTGAARTATCGCGATATTTCATTTCCCGATACTGTATCGATATTCTAAAGCCCTGTATCGCTTTTTAATTAAGGTTTAAAATGTCAACCTTCTTGCCAACCATTCATTTTTATGTTGTAGTTCAGCCTCTGACCACTAGTTGGCAGCAGTGAGCCAGCCATTTGGCTCCTCTACCTCTTGAGTGCCAGAGAGTAAGGGTAGCATTAGCATTGTGAGTAAACATTAGCTTTTTTTTTCAGTAAGAGGTTTTTATTTAATAGAATTCTTGGACAAAAAAATCACAATATATTGCCTTGCTTACAGTATCGCAATATATCGGGATATATCGTATCGTGACCCCTCTGTTATGATATGTATCATATCGCCAAATTCTTGCCAATACACAGCCCTAATGTTTAGTTTAGTTTTCATTAGTTCTAGTTTTCTTATAGTTTGAAAAAAAATTTGCCAATGCAATCCAATTTTGTTTTAGTTTTTTATTTATTGCAGTTAAGTAAAATGTTTTTTTCAGTTTTAGTTTTCGTTACTTCATTAGTTTTAGTTAACTAATAACCCTGCTTCAGACTCTGTTCACAATATCCTGTRTAAAAAAAAGTTAAACTTGACTTAAATGACTGAGCAAATAAAAACCCTGGATTCCTTTGTTTTATTCAACATCCTGTTTTGTTTTCTAGAGTTGTGGAACGATGGATTGCACGCACGGAAGAACAAGAAAAAGGACCCGTTCTGTCCGGTCAAGAAGAAGAAGCCGGTTGTTGTTTCTGATATCCTCTCACGTCGTGCCTCTTTTCTCAGCGCTTCACCGACACGCTGTTGAGATAAACGTTTCATTGTTTTCCTTGACCTTTTGTTTTCACGCCCGTATATTGTTTACATGCTGCAGGATCTGGATATTCTTGAAGACTGGACCGCAATAAGAAAGGTATTTTTCTGGAAGAGGACGGAAAGAAAGGAACCTGGATCAAAGTTTCGATTCGACCTTTTCAAGTTTTGTCTCTCCTTTTGCAGGCGATGGCCTCTCTGGGGCCGCACCGGGTGAAGGTGGACGGTAAGAGTTTCTCCTCATCCTCAGTTACAGTCAATATCTGGCAGAGCTCGGTGATCGACCTGGACCGAGACRGGGAGGTCTGATCCGGTTCTTGTTTTCCCCCCTCCAGTCCCTGCAGCAAAGACGGACAGACATCACCATGTGGCTCGCTCTGAAGAAGGTCGGCTTTTCTATGACAACCAGTGGTACTGCAGGGGACAGACCATCTGCATCAACAGGAAGGACGAGTGTCCAACAAGGTACGTGTGGGAGGACCATTTGTGACAAATTACACAAAGCTCCCAATGGGCTGTAATGTATTCCCTACATTTTGTGAGYTTGCTTGTTTCAAAGGTGGTGTCGTGGATTTTCTTTTGTAATAAAACTGATATTGGAAGGGTTTTAAACTCAAACAACAGTGCAGCTCCACKTTCTGCATTGACTTTGCTGTCAGAGCAGGATACATAGACAGAGAAAAGGCAGATTAAAGGTGATCTAATCCAGTCTCAAAAATCAGAGTCCCAAAAAAAATTATTATTTTGATGCGTTTTGCCACTTTAAGTATTTTTGCTTAGACTACTTGATCAACCAGCCAGTTACTTGGGACAACTTTTGCAGATTTTAATCTACGTTCTACAGGCCAGGCCCTGAGTTTAATAAGCTGATTAAAAGGCAGGCMCATCTATTCAAATCAATGCATTTTCCAGCCATTTGAGATGCATTTTTCTAAATACTTTGCATCAATAAAAATTTAAATTGTTATATATTTATTTATAAGTTGAACAGTGACACAACTAGTCTTTGAGGTGAATTTATCTGAGATCATAGACCCCACTTGAAATTTGTTCTACTCTTGTTGTTTGTGTTAGACACTAGCTGCGTTTCGACTGACCATGAAAATGCGCAAATTAGAAGTTGGAAAATAAATTTGCTCAATGGAAACACGTCACTTTCGAAAAAACTTAAATTTTTGGACAAAATGTTTTTGCGCTAGGATGAGGTGGTTTTTCAGCCGTATCAAAATTGGTGTATTTCGCAAAACTGCAATGGAAACACTTTTTTCGCATCACAGGAGTTACATGATCAAGCACCGGCTGTTTGTACTGGCAAAAAAGACGACGAAGAAGAAGACAATGAAGTAGAAATAGTAGTAATATCACAGAAGTTGTGAAAGAAAGTAGTAAACTCACCAACTGCAGTTTCCCAAAAACACAGCATACGTAGCCGCTCCCAAGTATAAGAGGCTATTTGCTCGAAAGCCTTGATAAGACGCCGACGTCTCCTCTGATGATGAGCCCTAGTGTTGTGGTAGCAATATGCATGGGTTTATATCTGTTGCCGCCATGTTTGTAATGACTTATCGCGAGAACAAACGTATTCACGCGTGACTTTAATAGCATTTCTTACTTAATGGAAACACTGCAATTGTGAAACTGTTTTTTCGACATTAAAGGCACAGTGTGTAGGATTTGTTGTTTTCAGTGACATCTAGTGGTTGAGTGGTTGAATCATCCTCCCTGGTCCTCCCCCCACCCCCACCCCCGCTTCCAAATGCAAAGGAGTTGCTACGGTGTCTCTCAGGTGTCAAAAACCTTTGATAATTCCAACCGCGATGTCTACCAGCAGCTTCAGGGCTAGTGAYGTTTCAAGTGGTAAGATTATGAGCTTTAATAAGTAAAATTATCCCAGCTACAATGACAGACAACAAATATTACATTTATAGTATTACAACTAAAACCGTTTTTGACGCCGCCACCGCAGTTTGTCCTTCACGAGCCTTCGTAGACAAGATGGCGGTGCAAGATGGCGGCTGCCTGTAATGGCGACCCGCGACCATGGAGACATAAACAGCTTTTTATAAGGTAAAAATAATAAAACAAGGTCTTTGTCTGCAATGATTAGACGTGATTTTTATTATTGTCATTAGTGATTATCTCTATTTCGGATAAAAGAATTGACAAAATCCTACACACTGTGCCTTTAACAGAATATCGACAAAATTTTGCGCACATTTGCAATGGAGGCAGCTACWGAAMWTCATGAGTCTGTCTGTAATGAAACAAATTAGAAAACAGAAAAAAGTCCGAGCTGAAATCTTGTTTGAAAGAAAACWGCATCACACCTCCACCCCTCACACACCATTGTGGCAATCTTGGCTCAGATGTGCGTCGCGGCCTAAGGGTTCAGAATCTCTGCTTTTATAGTTACCTGGTGGTAGATAAAATTACCAGGATCCATCACTCTGCACAGCCTCAGACAAGAAAAACTAAGTAACCTGCYATTTATCTTATACACAGTTTAGCTCCTACTTATTTAAATTTCATTAAGCTTTACTTGCATTCCCCATTCAGTTCCAGTCCAGAAAAACACTCTCCTGGAACACTACAAACTCTCAGTAWACTGCAGTTCAGTCAGGAGAGTCAAGCTCATACAGCTGTGGAGGCTGTGATCACTTAGCAGGGGAATAACTGCCGACTCATTCTCACTTTCACATCAACACTTGTCTGTTTGACGACCCGGGGCTCAGTTTGGTGCCACTTTTACACGTCTGCTTGTGTTTATGTTGCAGTGCCATCATCACCACCATCAACAACGATGAGGTGTGGTTCAAACGGCTAGATGGCACCAAGTCAAAGCTCTACATCTCCCAGCTGCAGAAAGGCAAATACACCATCAAACACTCATAAAYAGAATTAAAAACACTAAAACACACACCAACACACAACTCTACTGTTTCTTCTCATTTATTTCCCCATGTGAAGTCTTATACAATCATCTGCCTGAAAGCAGACCAGTTCCTGTTTGTATGTGGAGAGTTGCGTACCTGTACATATGTATATGTGTGTTGATATATATACAACATGGTCACAAGTGTCATTTTCTCTGAAATGGAGATCAATGCAAAGTGCTGCTAAAAAAAAGGAATAAAATAAAACAACCGGGTGGGAAAAACCGGAGCAGAAGCAAACTGTGAAGCAGAACTCAGTCGAGTGCCTTTCTGAGATGAAACTTTGTCCTTGCTGATGGGGGGAAGGGGCAAAAATCTAAACTATCAACGCAGAGCAGCCTTACCGTGTTCGCACTAGAAGGACTGAAGCAGGTCGGTGAACATGTGAATGTGAGGTGGGGGGCTCAGCAGTGAGTCTGAGCATCAGTTACACTAACCAGAATTCCATAGAGAAAACCTGTTAAAGCTTTATTCTGGTCATTGCAGACCTCAGAACAGCTTAGTTAGAAAGTGTCAACATGAGAATAATGTTAAACAGTGATGATGTGATGATAATGAGATAAAACTGTTCTTGAACACCCCAAAGTTTGGTTATCCACTTTTGGAATCATTGTACTAAATTCTTTTTTACTTTTTGTTGTTCTGCAGCACTTCTTTTTAAAGTTAAAGATTTTTTTTTGGCCATTGGGGAGTTAGGTTCTGTGAAAAAAAATCAGAACAGTCATTGTTTTATCCGCTATAGCTTCTTGAACGACTTCAGTTTGGAGAAATAGCTTAGTTAGTTGTAGACGTATGCCCAACRATTACTTTAGTCAACTGATTCAAAATGGCTGCCACAACTTAGCCAACACAAAAATGGCTACTATTTGCAAATACAAATAACAGTGACAGCAGCTAGCAATGGCACTTTCTGACACATTCTGGGATTTTATGACATTTCCACCAAACTACCCTTGTAAACAAAACTGATGGCAGTGTAAAGGTTTAAAAACCATAATAAATGAACCATAAAAAGTTGAGATTGGAGCTTTGGTCTTGAACTCTTGCCAGTTTTWATCTGTATATAGAATCATTTGGGTGTTTTGTGATTGATATTTTTGTCTCCATATTTTTCTGAATTTATTAATCCATGTCATGAACTTGAAAAAGGAAAAAAATCCACAGGTTTGTGCTGCATTTCTGTTGTGAAAAAAAAAACCAACCTCAAAATGCTTCAAATCTGTGAAGCTTGGTGCCATTTTTCAGCATTTAAATGTATGCTGTTCATGTTTGTCCTGTAGTTTTTCTCCTTCTTGACTGTCACTTGTTTTGTTTGTTGTCCTGATTGTTTACATCTCAAGTCTATCAACAATGGCAGGTACAAGGACAAAGTAATGATTCATTTTTGTATGAACAATCCATCCAGTCAACGTTTCTCCATACGAGTGCATTATGTTTAATTAAAATAGTTATTCTTTGCATTGTTCACGTCAAGTATTACCTGCCAGCAGTATTGCAAAAAGATGCAACATCTGTCARAAAGAAAAGATGTTGCCTCATGTGGCATTTGTTGATGAAAACTGTCATTTTTTACTTTTATTTTCATTTTTTGTTTTAGTTTGTATGGATCATGGTTTCTTCTACACATAAGCAAATAGAAAAAAAACTTGAAATTGTGCCAACTGCATGTACAAATAATTAAAGATGTTGTTTGTATCACTTTGAGGAGCTTTGAATCTGCACACATCAGACTTTCACAATGTAAAAATATCTGTATGCTATGAGGTTCTCCTGGAAAAATGGGTTCCTGACTCCTTCACTTGGCTTACAAACGTGGTGATTATTTATGTTTTATTTTTTGGAAATTTTCCATGTTAAGTTGAGCTGCTATTGACACACACAAAAAATCCACCAGCATGTTCTCAAACTTTTTGTTGTGGTGAACGCCCAATCAAGACAATTGAAAAAACAAAAGCCAATRTGAAAGTTTGAAATTAGGACGATGCAATGAGTCCAGGAAAGTCAACGGTTTATAGTCTATCTAGACCAGTGTTTCCCAAAGTTGGGGTCGGGACCCAAAGTGGGGTCCCGAAACATCAAGGTGGGGTCCTGAAAAGATTTTCTGAATTAATTACATTTTTGCCTTAGTTGTTACAAAGGAGTGAGGTTAGTGTATTTAAAATGGATAAATGTAGTATAAAAATATTGTTACTATGCCCATGTTTTGTTGACCTGATATAAATGTTTATCATACAAAAGTAGCTGGGAGCACAGGTCTCTGCTACTGTTATTTTCTGGGTCAAAAGCTGAAAAGTTTGGTAACCACTGCGCTTTGGTTCCCAAAGTTGGGTTTGGTACCCAATTATGGGTCATGAAGCACCTTGGATAATCTCCAGAAATCAATTTAAAGGGTAATAAAGTAATTGCTGATGTAATATTTTCCATATAATTATTACAAAAACACAAAATAAGTATAAATAAGTATTTACATTTGTCTACAAGCTGTTTAGATTGTCAAAAAGCCTGTGTTTTTAGGGTTATTAACGAAGTTCGTGTACTCAGACCAGTAATATTTGGGGTCACAAGTTTTTACCATGGATATTTTGTGGGTCACAAGATAAAAAGTTTGGGAACCACTGATCTAGACCACCAGAGAAACCGAGACCACGCAAGAGCAAGTGTTTTTTCTGAATGACTGAATATGTCAGCTGATGGAGGAACATTTTCAGAGGTCACGAATCTTACCAACCAGGCATATTTATTGTAGTTTTGGCTTGCAACAGACCTGTCAGGTGAGATGCTACAGTTGAGAAATTTTGACCAAAAACTGTGGTAGTAACCCCACAAGACCTCGAAAGCACAAGTTTCTTTTTCCTTGGTAGCACTAGGTAGAGTTCAGTAGTGATCATTTGAAGTTGTACCAGCAGCAAATGGTTCTGAATTTTTTTTACTGACCTCTTAGCATACAGTCATCAGATAGAATTACACCATTATCTTCAAGTGAAACAAAACACAGGATGACTTTCCACAGCATCTGCTACACACAGGGTTTTAATACTATACWATGCTGTGCCTCTACCCCCTCTCCCCACAAGGTAAAAGACAAATGATTTAAGTTTTCTTCCTTCGGCATGGTGTTGCTAACGAATAGTTCTGATAAGTAATGTGACACACAACTGTATATAATAGCCAATTTTTGCCTAAAATGAGGACCAGGAAGTGAAAACTGAGCTGCAACCTGATCACTTGTTCTTAACTGGCAGCCTGACTTGTGGTCATACGTTTTATTTATTTTTTGTCCAGAGGAAGCTAAATTTTGTCAGTCCTCTCCCCAACTTTGTTTAATCTGCACCAGAAACGATTCACAGCATCRGTCAGGTTGTGAGGAGGTTCAGGCCGAGTTGTTGAGTCATGAAGGTGAGTCAGCGGCCCAAGCACAGTGCGTACAATCAAGTAAATGATGAACATTGCATTCAGTCCTCTCCTGTTTAACTTCAGCTGTTAACAGTAACCATGGAAGACCCTCTTCCCAGTCCTGTTCAAGTTCTACACAATACCTTTTAAAGGAGAGATTTACGTGTTTGATTGAATTGTTGGCTCCTTGGCTCTGAGCATAATAGGCTGATGTTTTGTGTTTCCCTTTAAGTTTTTTGAAAACTTCTATAAAGAAGCATTTTAAATGACTTTTGAGAGCCCTGATGACTGAATCATCTATGGAATTCCAAAGATAGTGGTTAATACACCACAGATACGTGTACTTCAAGTACAGACTTAGGATGTGCTTAGGATTAGGTATGACATATTATTGGCACCAGGTAGTGACTGCCTGACTTTGAATGTAGTAAAGGACCAATATAATCAATGACCACATGTTCAAATACCTGCAATTCCTTCAAACTTTATTAGGTTCACCAGTTATTTGGCACGTGGGACATGTTTTCATACAACCGGACATTTCAGACGATTCTGAAGGGAAAACCTGAGGATGTACTCCTTCATTTTCCAGACACTTATACTCCCTGATGGGTCATGTAATGTTGTCGCAACTTTCTTCTAAATTTCTCTGGTAATCCTTATAGGTAATCTGGAGTTACCTATAAAGATTTCACCATGGGGAAGCTTTTCTCACCAACAAATTATATTTCATCGGCCGTCAGACCTCTGAAACAAACAGAAGTGTGGGAATCGGACACAAGAAAGGCCTTTTATTTTCTGTGCTGCTCAGTTCAAGGTGAAAAATCAAAGAGAGAAAGATACAGCACTCTGTTTCTGCAACAGAAGTAAAATACTTTATGACAAGAAGTGGTGGATCACACAGCTACCAGCCAGGTCRTTACCCAAAATAACATGGAAACCCTTGATTGGTAGAGCTGGACCCATTAGGACTTAGCACATTGAAACAAGTCAGAGTTCWGCTCTGATGTTGTGACAGCATACAGGAGTATTGTGAAAATATGAGACAAAAGTATGCTATAATGAGTCTCCTGCCAAGTCCAGTCAAGCRTTATGGCACCAGAGTGGTGTTATACTCCAGATATCATTCCTATACTGATGAATCAAACGTTGGGCTTAAAAAATAATACATGTATTAAACTATTACTAACTGTTGCTTCATACTAGTTGGCTTTTTACTAAATTCGATGACCAAATTAACAAGAGCCGTGCCTTTCTTCATGAATAAAACTGAAAATAGTCAGATCACTATATATAATTGCACTTCAAGTGATTGAGTCCTAAATATATCTACCTACCAGACCTCTAGTACGTGTCTGTAGTTAGTTGCACTTAAAATAATGTCCTAAATGTATTAAATGTAGTGTTTTCCCTCATAATTATGCTATTATTTAGGCCTTATCTAATATGCATTTCAACATTTAGACCAGGATAACAGAGCTTTTGTAGTTAATTCACTATTATTTCTCATACWAATTAAATAAATGGTGGCTGTGGCAGAGTTGTTAAGTGAGTCATTATTTAATGCAAAAGTTGGTGGTTTGATTCCCCGCTATTCTGTCACATGTTGAAGTGTCTCTGGGCARGACAYTGAACCCCAACTGCCTATGATGTGTGTCCCATCAGTGTATGAATGTGATTTAAAGCACTGTTAAGTCTCTATAGGTTGATTTACAGTMCTTGTATTAGCTTTGTAGAGATCTAGAGTGCTGTGTGGACGGATTAATGAGGGTACAGATTGCGCTTTGATATCCTGGTTGGATAGAAAGGCGCTATATGAGTACAGTTCATTTACCCTATAAATTAAACATAAAATAAACATATGAAACTAACAATATTTTAATGATATCCGTAAAAAATGTAAGGCGGAGATATTTTTCTGACTGCATTACCTACACAATACACAAAACAGATAAAAGTTAAATAGTTTACATTTTCAATCATTTTATGCTAATAGAGTACATTATAAGACATAATACCAATGAAACTCACTAGTAGGTTCTGATAAATATAACAAGTAATGGCAAAATGTTGAGTTTTGGCTCAGTTTTAAGTTTTCCTCCTCAGATTTCCATGGTCTGCTGGCAGAAGCGATGTAGCACCTGCCAAAATGGTGGCACACCTTCTGCTCTCGTCATTAGGCTGCGCTGTGGTTGGCCATTCCAAAATATTTTTATTTCAGTGGTCACAAATGCATCTTGGGCATGGGACCAGCAAGGCTAAGCCTGGCTTCAAATTCAACCAAACTAAGCTGGTGAGCGTGGGCCCACTGTCATGAATAAGCTGTTCCAACTATAATAAACCACCGTGGGCTTGTTGCAGGCATTTTGTGCAAAATTAAAACCATTGTGAGCCTATTATGAGTAATGAGGAGCCTACAGAGTTTTAAAAATGCTTGCGAAGATCTCACCAATATCATGCAAAGACCAACCATGTTGTAGGTGGATTTTTTTTTATGTTGTAGCAAAGTCATCAGCCAGTGTGGAGGGGGCCTTACTGACAAATACACCCTCACAGCAGGAGTTAAAAGAACACAAGGAGGAACTTGAAGCTTTGTCCCAGCCTCTGATGTCTCTAAATCCCAAATTAGTTAAACTTTTGCTTGGAAAACAAAAGCCTGAACCTTTGAGGCCCTTCCTAATAACCTATCGGACCTTAACCAGTGGCGGCTGTGGCGGAGTGGTTAGGGGAGTTGTCCTGGAACCAGAAGGTCGCTGATTCGACCCCCCGTCCAGCCGTCTCAGTCGTTGTGTCCTTGGGCAAGACACTTCACCCACCTTGCCTACTGATGATGGTCAGAGGGTCCAGTGGCGCCGGTGCATGGCAGCCTCGCTTCTGTCAGTGTGCCCCAGGGCAGCTGTGGCTACAGTGTAGTTTGCCATCATCAGTGTGTGAATGTGAGTGTGAATGGGTGAATGTCTGTTAGTGTAAAGTGCTTTGGGGTCCGGAGGGACTTGAAAAGCGCTCTATAAGTTCAGTACCATTTACCATTACCGGACCCTTAACCAGGCAAATCCCATTGAGATCACAGACCTTTTTTTTAGGGAGGCCAGGCCTGAAGTCAGCTTAAACATGCTTGGTTTTGGACTGTGAGAAAAAAYTGGAGTACCCGGAGAAACGGGAACAGAAGGAGAACATGCAAGTTTCACACAGGCCCATCCTGAGATTTGAACCCAGAACATTCTTGCTGTGAGGAAACGTTGCTAACCAATAATTTACCATGCTGCCCAAATCTGAGCCTGTACCCTTTTTCCACACACCAGAAGA